AAAAAAAAAAGGAAAAGAAATTTCTTTTTGCTTTTTCTTGTAAAATAAATTCTTACACGAAGAATACACATTTCAGCTGGTACATATTGTCCACCATCTTCTTCATCAACTTTACAAAATATTTGAAAATTAATTATATATATTGGCATTGTTAATAATTCATTTATATCTAATGGTAAATATTCAAATGCTAAATAATCTCGTTCAGAACTAAAACGATCATAATGAATTTTTAATTCTTCACATGGTATATCACGTTCACTAAGAATTTTTTCATTTTTTATTTCTTGTTTAAGAGTTTTTTTTGCTTGTAAATAACGTTGATTAGAATTAATAGTTGAATCAGGATCTAAACGATATTGTAGACGCCATTCTTCATATAAAATTTTATATGGTTGTTTATCATCATCAGATAATAATTTCCATTCATCATAACATGCTGCTATAGCATCATTAATACTTAAACGTTGACCAGAATTTTGTTGACAACGACGTTGATATTCAAGAGCATAAAAATAAAATGCTGATCGACTTGGTTTAGGCATGAAAAAATTATGATCTATAAAAGAAATTAAATAAATAACACTTTAAAATTCTTTATTGAAAAAGAAAAAAGATGAATACATTTTTCCCTTTTCTAAAAGAAAGAGTTTTATCTTATAAAATATCTATAAAATGATGCGTAAATATGTTTTGTCTGTCCATTTGTTCAAACGAATCAAAAAACAACATAGTTTTAAACCAATAGAAATAAAGGCAGAGGGCAGTATGTATTGGACAAGTGATTAATTCATTGTATTATGATGCTTATAAGTTTTTTGTTTCCGTGATTAATTTTAATTCAAAATTAATATTAAACATGATTCAATAGGATTACTTCCATTTGTGCTTTTTTTGAAACTTAACGATTGGTGCTGTTTTCGTTGTCGATTAGAGAGAGAGAGACATCATTACAAACAGATGTGTGTCGTTTGTCGATAAATGAAACAGATAGAGTCTTATGATTAGATATTCATCTAAATTATAAATAGTTTACAATTCGTCAATATTTAATTCAAGATTCTACGCCATGAATATATCTCAAAAACTATTCTAATATCGGAAATGGTTTAAAAGATAAAGGATCGTTTCCATGTTGTCGATTACGACGTGGTTACGCGTAACTGTATCGCAGTTGCTAAAAAAGAGATAAGTTCCCAGAAAAAAATTAAAGAAGATAAGCATGCTCTGCTAAATTAAATCTACCGACTATAATAAAAACTATATGTAAAGCGATCTGGTAAAATATGTATATGTCGATGAATACAGATGTCGCAACATTCAGATTACTTTCGAAATATATCAATATATATGCAAACGGTCACGTGCTATTGATTACATCACTAGCTTTTAGTATTTGTTTTCAACGAAAAAACTTTAAATTTTAATGTATGAAGTCATTGTAAATAGCTAAGATTTCAAAAATACGTAAATATTTCAATATTACAAAAAGGTCTATAAGGAATAAGTTTTAGATTCTTCTCTTAGTCAATGTGAAGGTGTGAGTTTCTGTAGAAACCAATTGCCATGCATCAGTAATAATGAAAATATTTTCCATAAATACCATACTCTTTCCACCATCCCTTTATGTTTTTTCTTTGTAATGATATTGCTCTGTTTGATATTCATCAGATTTTATCAACAATGTATACAAGAGAAAATATTTATTCCCTTTGGTATCAAGAGATATTCATCAAAATCGATATCAATCTCAAAGATAATGTTAGACGACAAGAATAATTGAGATAGAGAAAATTTACTACTATAGAGCTTGGTATAGAAGTTCCTACTGCAGGAGGAGGATCTAATTATATCCATACAAACATATTAGTTAGATATGATTTTCTTCACAGTTCGATCGTTTGTGCTCAAAAGTCATCTAGTCGAACAAAAGCATTATATCCATATGATTCGTTTCTTTTATTATTTATTCACAATAATGTGATGGAAGATACTGTATTCATGATGAGAGTAACATTAATAGATAGAATATTATTTAGTTACTTATAAAATCAGAGTAATTATTGCGAGTTCTATTGATTTTGATTATCGAAAAAGTTGATCATTGTGGAAAAATATAAATTATAATGACAACGTGATATTCATACAATTATGGTTCATATTATATGACAATTAACAATACGAATAAAATAGATTTTGCTCGATGATTTAAAATACTCATTTAAACGACATAATAGTGTTACCACGGAAGAAAATGTTCTTTAAATGACATACTCTAAACATTGATAATGAAATGTTGATCTCGTACTATGAAGTATTAGATAATCTTAATTGTAATCAAAATTCTCATTTCGACTTGTG